GGCAGCATAGGTAAACACAGCTCACCTCCTCACACAACCACATCAAAATCACAACTAAAACATAGAACAACCACCACTCAGAATCGTCAGATATTGAGTTGAATGGAAGTCTGACAACTATGGTATTAAAGAAATCACATCCATCCAGAGTGGTAGGAGGGGGGCAGATGCAGAACGGGCTGGTCCCACATCCACGTGTAGCAGATAAAAATCTGGGAGGAATATCTTGGGAGCAAGGAGTCTCAGCCACATACCAGATCCCATGGCCCAGGGTTCCAGGGCCAGGAAGATAAGTCCCAATGTCTTCTGGCTCCAAAAACCAGCAGGGATTGGGTCAGTGGAAGAAACTTTTGGAGTTCCAAGTAATTCCCCTTAAAGAACCCAGACATAGACTTACTCAGACTCACTCCCTCTGAGCTCCGGCACCATGGTAGTAGTTTGAAAGGCACCAGAGGCATATGGGGAGGAACTGAAATGTCTGGCATCAAGATGGGACCTGAGTGACAGCTTTCTCTCAGACAGAAAGGTAGGTAGAGGCTATTGTCCTTTGCTGAACCCTTCCCCCACATAGCCACAGAGCTGGCAGGTGGGTGCCATATCTGAGACTCCATCAACTTGGCTAACACCACTGCCCTGCCTGTAGATCCCCTGAGACTCTGTACCCCCCAAAACAGGGGCCCACCCAAGTTGCTTTTCCACCTGAATGGCTGATCTTGGCTCATGCTTCCCAACTTCCTAAATTCTATCAAACAATCAACAGCTGGCCTTAGCAAGCTACTAGCCCTCTTATCTCTTGCTAAGTGATCCAGACCCAACACTAGCAGCAGCTAGCCTAGAGTCACAGTTCAGCTTTGCCTGGGTACCTCCAAGTCAAGCACAAGTTGCAGCCATCTCAGATTGCTTTACACCCCAGGCAGGGTGGCCCTGGGTGGAAGACAGGTAGTGGCTGACCTTGGCTGCACCACCCAGGAAACCGCAGAACCTGTACACTCATGGACAGCTACAGACCATGTCAGAGCACCACCAACCTGACCTTGCACAGCTGATCCTCCACGGAGGGTAGAGGTTGCTGGTTAGTGGTAACAACCAGACCTTGCAGCTGACTGGCCTGCTAAATCCCTCACATTGACCTGCCAACTGCAATCAAGACTCAACTACAAGGAGAAGGTGTACTCAGCCCACATGAAGGGTGCACCTCGAGTACCCAGCTTGTGTGATAGGGGAGGCTGTGCCATTGGACCCTATAGGACACCTACATTAGGTCATGATACCAAGACACAGAGTCACAGCAGCTCTACCTAATCATAGAAACAAACACAGGGAGGCTGCCAAAATGAGGAGACAAAGAAATATGGCCCCAATGAAAGAACAGATCAAAATTCCAGAAAAATAACTAAATAGAAAGGAGATAAGCAATCTATCAGATGCAGAACTTGCTCGAGGAACTTGGTGAGGACCTAACAGCATAAAAAAGATCCAGTCGGAAACAAAGGACACACTAACTGAAATAAAAAACAAATTTCAGGGAAACAACAGCAGAGTAAATAAAGCCAAGAATTAAATTGACTTGGAATATAAAGAAGTAAAAAACAACCAATGAGAACAACAATAAGAAAAAAGAATCCCAGAAAATGAGTATAGTGTAAGCAGCCTATAGCGCAAATTCAAACGTTCCAACATTCACATCATAGGGTACCAGAAAAAGAAGGGAAAGAGCAACAAATTGTAAAACTATCTGAAAAAAAAAATGAAAGAAAACTTCCTTAATTTGGTGAAGGAAACAGACATGCAAGTCCAGGAAGCACAGAGTCCCAAACAAGATGGATGCAATGAGGCCCACTCCAAGACACATCATAATTAAAATGCCAAAGGTTAAAGACAAAGAGAGCATCTTAAAAGCAGCAAGAGAAGAGCAATTAGCTACCTACGAGGGAACTCCCATAAGACTGTCAGCTGATTTCTCAACAAAAACTTTGCAGGCCAGAAGGACTTGGCATGAAACATTCAAAGTAATGAAAAGCAAAGACCTACAACCAAGATTACTCTATGCAGCAAAGCTATAATTTAGAATTAAAGGAGAGATAAAGACCTTTCTAGGCAAGAAAAAACTTAAAGGAGTTCGTCACCACCAAACCAGTATTATAAGAAATGTTAAAGGGACTTCTTTAAGGAGGAGAAAAAAAGATTAAAATATGAATAATAAAATGGCAATAACTACATATGTATCAATAATTACTTTAAATGTAAATGGATTAAATACTCAATCAAAAGACATATGGCTGAATGGATAACAAAACAAGACTCTTATATATTCTGTCTACAAGAGACTTCAGATTGAAAGAGACTGAAAGTAAAGGATGGAAATGATACTTCATAAATGGAAACAAACAAAAAGCTGTGGTAACAATACTTATACCAGACAAAATAGATAAAAAAAAAAGGCTATAACAAGAGGCAAAGAAGGACCCAGCAATTCCACTCCTGGGTACTTATCCAAAGAAACCCAAAACACAAAATTGGAAAAGACATATGTATACATCTGTATTGTATGTTCATTGCAGCATTATTTACAATAGCCAACATATGATAGCAACCTAAGTATTCATCAACAGATGGATGAATAAAGAAGATATGGTACACATATAAAATGGACTATGATTCAGCTATGAAAAAGAATATCATTCTATCTGCAACAACATGGATGGACCTAGAAGGTATTTTGCTGAGTGAAATAAGCCAGAGAAAGACAAATGTCACATGATTTCATTTATACATGGAATTTAAAAAACAAAATAAATGAACAAGCAGGACAGAAACAGCCTCATAAATACAGAGAATATTTTGATAGTTGCCAGATGGGAGGGGGGTAGGCATATGGATAAAATGGTGAAAAGATTAATAAGAACAAATTGGTATTTGCAGAATAGTCATGGGGATGAAAAGTACAGCATAGGGAATATAGTCAATAATACCATAATAACAAGCCCTAGCTGGTGTGGCTCAGTGGACTGAGCATCAGTCTGTGAACCAAAGGGTCATTGGTTTGATTCCCAGTCAGGGCACGTGCATGGGTTAAAGGCCAGGTTCTCAGTAGGGCTCACCCCAGCATGGGGTGAGCAAGAGGCAACCACACATTGGTGTTTCTCTCCCTCTTTCTCCCTCCCCTTTCCTCTGTCTACAAATAAACAAATAAAATCTTTAATAATAATAATATTGTAATAACTACGTATGGTATCAGATGGGTGGGTACTAGATTTAACGGGGTGATCACTTTGTAAGTTATATAAAAGTCTAATCACTGGGTTATACACCTGAAGCTAATATAATGTACATGAACTATAATTGAAAAATAAAAAATTATTTAGAATTATTCATGTTAATAAACATTCTTCAGAAACTCAGCTACTGTTCTAAATTTCTTAACAAACTGCTTGAACTTCTCTGATTATAGGGTCTGCCGGAGAAACGCAGTGAAAATATGGCCCTGACAGTACGGCTTAGTTGGCTGGGCCTCATTCCCCAAAGCAAAAGGTAGCTCGTCCAATTGCCATCAGGGCACATGCCTTGTTTTCAGGTTTGGTCCAGTCAGGAGACACCTACAAGAGGCAACTGATTGATGTTTCTCACATGGATGTTTCTCTTGCAAATCAATGTTTCTCTCCCTCTCTTCCTCCCTCCCTTCCCCTCTCTCTAAAAATAAATAAATAAAATCTATTTAAAAATGTATTCCTTAGCCAGTTAAATTGGGTCTTCTTGTTTACAAAATTATCTTCCAAACATGCTTTGAAATTTTCCTGATTTTGAAAAATGGAGTGTCATTTGATGGCTCTAAAACTGGAAATTTATATTACAAATGGCTCCAAAGAACTGAAATTTTGATGGCTAGGATTTTTTCAATGTAGGTGGGATTTTCGTAGGCACTCAGGGCTTTTGAAATGAAAGACCTTGTGTTTAGAAATGTAGAACTGGCAATAAAGGGTTTAAATGAAGATTCAGCATGTTTGGGAAATTCCTATCTTGAATCTTGTAGTGTGTATAAATATGAAGCTAAGTCTCTGGTTTTCTCTCCTGTCCAGGCTAAAACTATCAGATGTCCAAGTTAATTTTCCTTTGATGTCTTATCTAAAGGATCCCCCCAAATGTGTAAGAATAAAAATAATACCCGAACCTAATGATTGACTCTAACATCACATTGAGAATTCCACAAAGAAGTCAGGGTTGGAAGTCTAAAACTGGGAATCATTAGCAAGCAGGTATATTTCAAGTCATAAGTCTGGATGAAAACAGACACGGGAATCAACACTTAAAGGTTTAGAGGTGTAATATGGTTTGACATATTTTTCAAACAAGCTACTGTATATCCTATTTTCTTGTGCCTTCACCAGGCCTCACTTTGCCTTAGTAGATCTATCCTATTGTTCAATAACTAAACCTAATGATCACATTTCCTGGACTCTAACTTGTGCTTTTTAACATTACTGTTACTAATTTCGTTAACAGTTTAGAATCAAAGTCTTGTCCCTCTTTCTCCCCCGGCCCCATAAAAATTTTTATTAGGTTTATATAACAGTTGAGAAAATAGATTCACTAACTACAGGTGATTTTGCCTGCAAGGTAAAAGCTTCCAGTTCTACAGCTTAAAACTTCGCTTGCAAAGTGCTTTTTCAGGTAGTTCCCTAGTGGCTGTCACAAGTTTGTGCGAGTAATGCGGAGAGGGAGGGCTAGTCCCCCTGCTCCCTTCATTAAAAGGTTAGGCACATGGAGCCTCTAGCGGCGTGTCTGATGTCTGCAGCGCAATCACAAACAACTCAGAGCGTGCACTTAATATTCGCGCACCCAATCCCGAACTGGACTGTGAACCTGCCTAAGGGTGAGATGTGCCCCCTTCAACCAGCCCGGTAGCAGAGTAGAGAACTCATGCAAGGCAAATGACCTCACCCTAAGCCTCCACAGTGCCCACATCTTTGCCCAACCGCCTGCCTCTGGCTCTGGTGGCTTACGGGTCGTTCGCATCCACTCCAGCAGGGCTGGGAGGTCTGCTGGAGTCACGGTACCAAGCAGCTGCAGAATTGCTTGCTGTGCGGAGCGGAATTCCATGTTGCAGCACAAAGCAGCCTTGCGGGAGATGCGCATTGCGCACGCGCAAGCAGAGACCGGTAGCGACACCTGACTAGAGCGAGTGGAACCCGCCTTCCTAGGCTGCGAACGCCCTAAGCCCCGCCCCTTCTTGGAGTTCTCTGAAGCGCCAGGGGAATTCCTCCATCTGAACGCACCCTAGCTCTCATCATTTCCCTCAGTTGGCAGCGCTCAGCTTAGTCACTTTTTCTTAAGGCGGATCCTCAAGGCCGTAGTCCTTTCCTGAGGTCGTGTTATCTTAACAACTTCCCTGCCGCAGTTGTTGAACAATAGAAAATGAATGTCAAAAGCCACTGAAAGCAAACAAACACCTTGTAAGAAAGAAGGCAGTGGGTGCCCCGGAAGCGGAAGTGCATCCTCTTCGAGAAAGGCTGAACTACGCCGAGTGGTGACGTTTCCTCATTGGGCGGAAGGTTCGGTGGCAGTCGTCGGTCTTCCAGCTGGTGGGAGTTGGCGTTGCTGTGCTGGGCTCTGGGACCCTCGTTTATATAGTTTGGAAAGTCGGTCTGTGGCGTCGCACCTGTCTGTCTGATCCCCGCTTTCCTCTGATTCCTCCCACGGCGTGGGGCCTCGCAAAGGAATCCCTGGCCCCTTTGGGCCACGGCCGTAGCTGTGCCTTTTGCGGTAAGTATCTACTTTTTCCCCCGCCCCAGACTACGGACTGGCAGCTGTCGCCAGCGCCAACCATGCTTTAGGGGGCTACAGACTCCAGAACGAGTCCACTTTCCTGGCTACCTGCTGTCGTTACCGACACTCAGGTGCTCTGGCCCTTTTCCATCTCATGTGCCCCCGTAAGTTTTATTAAAGATGCGCTGTGAGCCTTTTACATTGACTTCAGATTTCCGAACCAAATTACATGTGTAGGCAATTGCAGGCCTGATTCTTTGATTTGCTCTCTTTGATTTGCTCTCCCGATGAAGAACTTAGATATGACTTCTTCCCCGAAAACCTTTCGACGTGTACCAGATTGTATATGTTCGTGTTCGTTGTTCTTAACACATTGGCCTGTATATAATAGGCGTTCAGTCAATGAATAAGGAATATCAGTCCAACGTCAGTGATGACTTAAGATGTACTGAGGGCTCTCTAGCATTTGATACTACTACCCATTTATTTCTTGAAACTCTTACTCTTGTTGGCTTTCTTGGTGCTCTTCTCACCTAGTTTTTTTATATGCTTAATTCAACAAATATTTCCCTTTTCTTAGCTATAGAGATACGGAAATGAATGACACAATCCTATCATTGAAGAGCTAACAGTACAGTGAAGGAAAAGCATATAAATATGCAGTATATGTAGATGAGTAATAAGAAAGTCTAGTAAAGACAGAGAGCCATGAGAACTGTGGGAATACAGATGAGAGTTACAGGTGATTTGTGACCCTGACTTAGCAAAGTTGCAATTCCAGTCTAGACCTCGTTTCCCCATCCACCTAATACATATATTAAGAGGATGAGAGATAAGAGGATGCTGAGAGTGGAAGAGGTTGTACTTGTGTGGGGACAGGGTATATTTGGAAGCTCTCTGTAGTCTCTGCTCAATTTTACTGAGAACCTAAAAGTGCTCTAAAAGTACAGCTTACTAATTAAAATTTTTTTTTAAAGACATGAGTGTTGAACGATTTGGTAATACATTTGAGGTAATAGTTACAGTATAGCAGCAGTGGTCCCAAAGGGAAGATAAATATTTCCCTAAAACCTCTTTCTCTTAATTTTTTGATATGAACAATTAGTATTTTCTAACCTAATATAGTACTATGCAAAAGCATCTTCAAGCCTTCCTTCAAACAGGTTACTCTTCTAACTCCAGCTCTGTGGAAATTCTGGACCTGCCACTAAAATACAGTAAGAAAATAATAAATGGTAGCTTTTAAAAATTGATTTCTTTCAGTATGCCTTTGGAGAGGGAAAAATAATTAGTAAAAGCTTCTGTCCTTTTGTTTATTCTCAGTCTTAGTTGATTCTCTCCTTTTAGTTGGCTCTTTGCCATTGCTATAACCCAAATGGTCTTCCACAACTTCTGGAGAGTTCTTATCTACATCCATGGTTTCCATGGCATTATCATTGTATGGCAACCATTTCCAGATCTTTTTCCCTTCTATCTCTGAGTGATACAGTTCTTTAATTCTGCAAATACTCTAGGTTCAAAACCAAATTCCTTATCTCCACCTTCCTTTCATTTTCTTCTTTCATTGTTACCGATATCTTAGATACAAAAGCGTATAAAAGCAGTGATTCGTAGTGTGTTTTTGAGTTTTGACCCCCTTGTTTCTAAGTGAATTTTGTATATTATTTGTTATTTGATGTTCGCTTAAAAAAAGATAATAAAATGAACACCTGTGTATTGAATATCCAACTTAAGCAGAAGAACATTACAATTAACATTTAAACTCTTGGAACCTTTTCTCTAGTACCTTTCACAACAGCTGCTTCTCTTTTTGCCTTCCATTGATTGGTTAATGGCATTACTAGCCATATGGCTTTTCAGACTGGAGATCCTTAGAAACTTTTTTGCCTTCTGTTTTTCCTTCATTCTCCACAACCATTTGGTCATTAGGTCCTATAGATTCTGCTTTATGGATTGCCTCCTGATTCTAGCCTCTTTCCCATTTTGCCTTCTGCTTCCCTAGTTCAAGTTCACATCTCTCCACCAGACTTTTGGAGTATTATTAGTGTGTATAGTCTCCTTGCTCTCAAGTTTTTTTCTAATATATTTGCTACATTGTCTCTAATTTTCAAATTATAGACCAGATTTTTCACTGTTGTTTCCTTTGAGGAGTGTTCCTTCACTCAGTAATCATTAACCCTGGCTGCATGTCAGTATAGTCAGTGAAATTTTTCAAAATTTAGATGCCTTGTTTTGCTCTTACAATAAAAAATTTTGATGTTATTCTCCTTGGAGAGTCTGATTGGGTATTTAATTTTTAGCTAATAAGTTTTTCCTAAATTTCATTGAAATAAATTATTGCTGGAGCATATGCCTCTTATTCCTCCTTTTCCATATGTTTTTTTTTTTAACTTCAAAGCAAACTATTTCTAAGGAATTCTTTTGACTTTGTTTTAATTTTTTCCTTGCTAACAGTTTACATAAAGATTGTTTTAATGATTGAACTGACAGCCAAAATATCTTTTTCTTTTTAAGATTTTATTTTTATTTCATTTTTAGAGAGGGGAGGGAGGCAGAAAGAGAGAGAGAGAGAAACATCAATGTGCGGTTGCTGGGGCCCGTGGCCTGCAACCCAGGCGTGTGCCCTGTCTGGAATCGAACCTGCGATGCTTTGGTTCACAGCCTGCGCCCAATCCACTGAGCTACGCCAGCCAGGGCTCCAAAATATCTTAAAGAAATGATTTTCACTGTTTTTGAGTTATTACCCCTTGTTACTAATTTGATTTTTTATACCTTTTCTGCTATTAAACTATGAAGTGTTGCAGTGATTTAATATTAAAATGAGTTTTAAAATTTGGAAACGATTATTTAGAATGAAAAAGAATTTTCTGAGACTTGATGTAATTGAGTATAACCTTTGGTGCAAAATTAAGACAGCAAATTCATTGGTGGTATGATGTATAATTTATTCTTTAGAAGTTAACAGAGGAGTCTTATTTTTGTTAGGTTGATATAATTTGTTGATTTGGAGTTGGAAGTTTTCTCATGCTGGGAAAATTCCTGGAGCACATAGGAGGTGTTTAATGAATGAATAAATTAATACAAGTGGCAACTCCATCTGTATCCCTAATGTAATATTACTCTAGTTCTCATGAAGACCACTTTGAAAAATAATTAATTTTTCTATTGACTTAAAGATAATACCTAACCCTGGCTGGATGATTCAGTTGGTTGGAGTATTGTCCCATACACCAAAAGGTTGCTGATTCAATCCCCAGTCAGGGCACATACCTAGGTTGTGGGTTCAGTCTCCCATCGGGCTGTGTATGGGAGGCAACCAATTGATGTTTTTCTCAATCAGTCTCTGTCTGTCTCTCTCCCACTCACCCTCTTGGCTCTCTCTCTAGAATAAATATATACTTAAGTGAAGATACAAAAAAATACCTAGTCATTGCCAAAAATTTGGAAATTACAAAAAGATATAAATAATAAAATAGAGTACTAGTATTTACTATCTAGAGATAACAGATACTATTTTCTAACAGTTTTACTGAAATATAATTAATATACCATACAGTTCACCCAATGTGTACAGTTCAGTGGTTTTAGTTTATTTAGAGTTGTGCAACCATCACCACAATCAATTTTAGAACATCTTTATCACTCCATGAAGAAACTCTGTTACCATTAAGTCATTCCTCATTTTCTCCAAACTTCCAAGCCCTAAGCAACTATTAATCCACTTTCTGTCTCTATAGATTTGTCTGTTCTAGACATTTCATATAAGTGAAATCATATAATATGTGGTCTTTTGTCACTATGGTTTTTTCATTTAGCATAATGTTTTTGAGAGTCATCCATGTTGTACCATTACTTTATATTTTATTATGAAGTAAAACTCCATTTTATGGGTAATACCACATTGTATTTATCCACTCATCAGTTAAGGGATATTTGGGTTGTTTCCACTTTTTGGCTAGTATGAATAATGCCACTAATTACCATTCATGTACACATTTTTGTGCGAATGTGTGTCTTCCTTTATCTTGAGTGTACCTAGGAGTAGAATTACTGAGTCATATAGTAACTCTGTGTTTAACATTTTGAGGAATTGTCAAACTGTTTTTCAAAAGACTGCACCATTTTGCATTCCTACCAGTATTGTATGAGGTTCTGATTTCTCCATATTTGCACCAACACTTGTTATTACCTATCTTTTTTATTATAGTCATTCTAGTGTGTGTGTGTAGCGTGGTATCTAATCGTGTCTTTTTTTTCATTTCCTGATGGCTATTGTCATTTTTTGGATATTTGTATATAGACAAAGTATGGGTTATATGATATATGCAGTTTTATGTTCTGCTTTAGGCATTTAAGCATATTTTTATTATTAGCAAGCATATTTACAAAAGAATTTTCCTCATTTCTGCTTCCCTCTTCACTTCCCCCAAAACCATGATTCTTGTGAAAACTTGTCTAAATTATATGCATTAGAAAATAAAATCTATAGGCATG